TCCACACACCCACACCCATATCAACACCCACACACCCACACCACACACCCATACCCACATATATACCCACACTTAAACAGTCATTTCCCTCTTCATACCCTCACCCACACCCTCACGCACTCTCACCCCTCAAGATAGCCACCCACCCACACCCTCACACCCGCCTTGTTAGAACTACTGGATAGCAGTAGATTTAAGAATCGTGAAGAAATTTGTTAAATATCATGACAAAGAATTCTGACTTGGAGAAGCAAAATGAAACGAAATACTCATGACCAGTCTAACTTTGTTATTCAAGTCAAAAATGATAATTCAAAGCGGTATTTTTTAACGTTTTTCTTATGCTGAAAAACTTTGAACATTTCTCTGTCACAGGTAAAAAAAATCAGTCCACTTGATTAAACTAGAGTGGAAATATTCAATTTTTTTATCGTAAAGTTACTTATGGGACACTCTGTAGGTGAATCTTCTATTTTGATATAAATTCATCGTTGTGAACCGAAGTTTTAATTGGTCATTGATCGCCATGAATAATGAGTAAACCAGACAATTCAATCTTGGGCTCGTATTCAAAATTCATCGTTGTTGATGCAGTGGATCGACGATCATCGATTGTCATCGGTGACTCAACTATATAGGAGAGAGTAATGTGTGAGACAGACGCACTGTATCTTTCTTCAATTTTTCATTCAAAAAGGAGGATCTATCAAAGATCCAGTTGAATATTCAGTGTTGACCGAAATTTTCAATAATTGATGATCATGAATGTATAAGGAATTAAATAAAAAAAAACATACATAAGTTCAATAAGCCAATTTATCATGCAGAGCATCGAAAAAAATAGCTTGAAAGAAAAACAAAACAATTGTTGTATGATCAATGAAGTTTTTTCGGGTAGAAGCTTAACTCTGATGCAGAAAATCAATGATTTCAATTCAGAAACTAATTGTTTACGAAGAACATAAAATCAATCGACATGAATGAGAGACAGCACACAGACATATTATTATCAATCAGTAAGTTTTATTTTGTCTATAATGTATGCAGGAAAAATCAAATGTTTAGTTCACCTTTTAAATAAGTAACCGCTTTGCCCGACAACAACACTCTGTCACCCTTGTTTTCGCACCAAAGTTCCCCTTTTCGCGCCGAAATCTATTGAGTGTGCAGCTGGGTTTTACCTAATCGTTCACTCCAATAAGGGACTAGACTACAATGTGATGAACCAGTAACGGAATCTTCAGGAATACCGATGCTCGGTGCAAAAAACCGTGAGACAAAATCGACTTCATCACCAGGAGCAGTAACAATGACGCCAAAAACATCGACTTTGGCTAATGCCATAAAATTCGGTGACAATTGTTTGATGTCGGCTTCTTTTTCATAAACGAGCATGTAGTCTCTCGCTTTATAAACTTCAACAGGAGCTATGCTGCTGCCTAATGCTGACAACAGCACATCAGGCAAATCGACTTTTGTTGCCGGACAGTCTGGAAAATTGAGGGTATAAAGAGCCTCCTCATTTTTGCGAGTAACTGTAAGTACACCAGCTTTCTTGGTCTGAAAGTTAATTTTCTCATTCATAGAAGACATTTCAGTGAAAATTATATGTGCCGTCGCCAATGTCGCATGACCACAAAGATCTATTTCCATTTCGATCGTAAACCAACGAAGTTCATATCCATCATTGGTGGAATTTGGCACAAGAAAAGCCGTTGTAGAGAGATTGTTTTCAGCAGCAATTTTTTGCATTAATGCATCAGGTAACCATTTGTCTAATGGGCATACTCCAGCTGGATTGCCACCAAACAATCGATCAGTAAAGACATCGACCTGATAGATTTTAATGTTCATAGTTCAAACAACTCTAAAATTAGGAGAAAAAATTGTTGATATACCGGGTGTCCCAAAAGTCCCTTCCACTTAAATTTTTTGTATATCTTTGCAATTTAATTTCACTTTATCAACTATTGTTTTTCTAAATGATAGGTAGATACACTGAGTTTTTATTTATAAAGACAAACTTCAGAAGTACTGCTCAAAGCTAAGACTTAGAATCGAAATA